TTCATCATTTCCCCTTCTCACTAATGATTTCATGGGATGAAAACTGAATGAAAAAATCATTCCCAAGCGTGGGATTTTTCGAACAACAATAAATCCCTTTGCTAATGACTGCTGAACTTGGGATTATTTGGCTTTGATGAACTCGACAGCGATCTAAGTGAAAGTGGCTATTCTCGTTCCAGAAGAGGAAATAATAAACTTGAAAATAAACGGTTCTGCTTTCTATATCCATCCAGGTTATAAAGTAAGACAAAAAACCTATGCACTCACTGCAGGAAGCGAATCTATCTTGAATTCTCCTGGAAAATATATGCAACCTGTGTCCTGTGTCCGCTTGAATCTAGGTACTATTTTTTTTTCTATTTTTGAGTTCGACTAACTACGAAAGCGTGTTTCTCAGTATTCTCATATTTTTTGTTAGAATACCATATTTTGACGTATGAACTATAATCTCCTACCACGACAACTCCTGAATACTGATTCTTAATGAAATCGAATTATGATTACAAAATTCGTCAGCCATATTGGATCCGCCATCTCGAATTTTCCAATTCTGACGGAAGAATCATGATTTCCGTCCCCGAGAACCCCTATATACAAATTTTTGATAGAATCTGATCATAATTCTGTCGTACTAAGCAAAAGGGTCGTATCTGATATTTTCGTCGAAATTGAGATAACTGTATTTGTCGTATCTCAAAACACACACATCTTCTGGTGAGGTTTCAAAATCGTAGTGGCAAAATAAGAGCTTGAATCATGTTTTAAATTTGTCATATCTGCAATGTTAAAACACTTCACCAAGACCAGATGTCATATCTGACATTTACCAGAAGCTCAAATAATGTGATATCGGACATTGGTTTGAGCAAATTTGTCGTATCTATTCAAGTAATATAACACTTACAAAAATTCGCGTGGGGAAAGATTGATCCAACAATGACGTGCACATGATTCAATTCATGATATCGAGAAAACCTCTCGTGCAGATTATTATGAGTTTCTTATTGAGATCATGGATGATGTTATATTGATTGAAACAGAAAAACGGCAATATCTCAGAACCAAAAATTTGTCAGATATGAGAGTTTTGCTTAGCACGGCAGAATTTTGGAACTAGTCCGCCATGTGGGATCCGCCATATTGGATTCAACAATTTGATCGAAAGAATAATGATATCTGACCCCGAGAACCCCCAGATACAAATTTTGAATGATATCAGATCAAGATCACAAAACACGTTCGCTATATGGGATTCGCTATCTCGAATTTACAAAAATTGAAGAAAGAATCATATGTCTAAGCTTGTGAACTCCCAGATACCACTTTCGATTATAATCGGATCATAATTACAAACCTTTCCGCCATTTCATTTTTTTGTTTTCCTTGATGCATTGCCACAAGAATTATATACATCTTCTAAATTTTCAATCAATAGGATCGTTTTAAGTGGGTCAAAATCAATTCCAAAAGAGTCGGTCACATACATACTTACATACACACACACATACATACATGCATACATACTGGTGAAGGTGATAAAAGGGTGATAATGATATCTCCATATCTATCTATTCATCGTAAGTACTGGAGGCAAATATGGCCCAGCGCGGGTAGTATGGCCCAATGTTGATATTTAGGAAACTTGGGTACTTATGAGCAATCTGGCAATGCCGGCTCTGTACGCATGCCTGGCGCCCTACGATTTTTCTCGCACGCCGCTTCTACAAGTTCTCTGCAATTTGTAGCCAGTTGGGAACCAAGCCGTTGCATGGTGTTCACGCTGATGTAATTTTGGGTGAGGTTTCAGTCCACGTACCTCCCATCTCATATATAGCAGCAAGCTGGGATATTTTCAAGTTTAATTAGTATTTGGTAGCTATTTTTACATACCATGTTGAAAGGGTTTTAGAATTCGGCTCTCTTGATTAAGCATAACCTTTTTTCAGAAATACATTTCATTCAATATGGCCCAATACTACGGTAAGTTTTATGGCCCATGGGCCATAATACCCGACAGCGGGCCATATTATCCATCATCAACAAGTTCATTGAGGAAAAATAGATTTTTTAACTCCTAATCAATGTTTCAGCTTCCTAATGGGTGAAATTTGTCTCCACATAAATCAATTGAGACGTTTGATGACATCCTCCCGGCTGAAAAGAAAGAGACAACCGTTCGTTTTCATAGCCCTTGACTCCATTGATATTGAAGCAGAAAAACAAAATAGCCGAGTCAATCTCAAGCATTGAGTCTTCTTCAAAAGATCGGTCTACTTTTGAACCAATAATTGAAGAGTCTTGGTTTTGTGGTTGTCACAAAGATGACAAAATGGATAGAAGAAGATAACACTTGGTACCATAAAGTATGTGTTGGGATAAAGCCTGAAGACTATGATGAAATCGAGTGTTGTTGACTGTAAACCCCAAGAATTTTTTTATAAATTTCAATGTGTTTTCATTTATTTCAATATTTTTATATTCATTGTTTTTGTGCATACTATATACGTACCCACCCTCCACTTTTTTCCTATTATAAAAGTTCGATACTGTAACCAAACCCACCCGGGTCTTATCTAAATATGGATTTATATATCCATATTTCATGTGATCGTCTAGTATTTATCATGTTCGAGAAGTATCGAGATTCAACTCGACACCTCTCAAACATGTTCCCACGTTGTGTATTTTTTTTGTATAAGTTCGTGGATACAGAGTTCTGTGAAGGTAGAAAAGAAATGAAAATCGAGTATGAATCAAGAGTATTTATTGGCCACGCATATTTTTACAATACAAATTGTACGATGTGAAGTTGAGTGAATTAGCAAAAAGCAAGCAAACCCTCTTCACTGCGCCAACCAAGACTCAGTAGCAAAAGTTTATGTTGTTATAATCAGATCAATTGCTCAGATGGACTATTCTTGCATTCCTCTCGGTTTGCCTAATGGCTTTTTTCAGTAGAAGGATCGTCTCCTGCCGGGATAAAATAGGAGTGGTTGCAAGCCACCTCCGCGGTGTACACCAACTACAGGGACGTCCAAATCAGTATGCCTACTGTTAATTTGAAAGTAAGGAGAGGACGCTCCCACAGTACCATCGAGCAATTTGACCACTCATTGTCATCTATAAGCACTTCGAGTTACGTAGATAAACTGGTCAAGGTTAAGCAACAGCGAAATATACAGTACTACCAAAAAGAGGTCATGTGATGAGTTTACTCTATTTGGACTTGACGTTATCTATCAGAGACTGAGTGCTGAGTAAGTGCTGAGATAGTACTCAGACTGAGACCTAATCCTTCAACCCGTTCTTTCGGCTATACAGGAGGTAGAGGTTTGGTCATCTTCCATGTTTCCTAGAACTCGTAACAAGATAAGGAATTAGTTTCTGAAATAATATTATTTCTGCCCATTCGCTCTGAAGGAAAACACATAACATTGTTTAGGCAAATCTTTATTATTTCTAGAAGTCGCAGATATTCAAAAGAACAAACCTATTTGTGGTGAAGTGTTGGGTCCGACTGCGACCAAGTCGATCGGATAGTAGTGTAAGTGTAAGTTCCGACTACGATCAGGTGTCGGTCGGATTGTAAAAAGTGTAGGGTCCGACTACGATCAGGTGTCGGTCGGATTGTAGTGTAAATGTAAGCTAAAAGAACATATTATGTGAAATCATATAACTGTAAAGAAAGACAACAAATATTCATCATATATGCCTAACCATATCAATGCTCCGTATAATGAACAATGATAAACAGAATTGCAACTCAATCGCAACTCAACACAGTTCATTTCAAAAGAATACCGGTATGGGCCCCATATCGCTCTGTCTGTACCGGCCGTCGGTGCTCTAGTCACTTCTAGCACCGAGCGGACGGTCACTAGGTCACTAATGTCATTGTCATGTCCATGTCAAATAAATTCAGATAAACAAATAAACATATACGAATTCAAATTTCAAACAGTTTTGTTATGATGGATTCTTACCTTTTATTTCTGGAGATGTTGCTTCTTCGAAGGTTGGAAATGTTCTGTTGAGATCGCGGCTCAGGCTGCTATTTATAGGGAAAGCCGTTTATTGTGATTGTCACCAGGACCACTTCCATGGTTACTGATGTTCTTTTATTGAAACAAACCTGGATTTGGCCCCTTTTTGGCCCCATTTCAGGGTGCTCCCTTGCATTATAAGGCTTCTAGCTGTGAACATACGATGTCCAAAGATCAGGTAGCTGTTTTCACATACTTATAAGTCTGTCCCTGTGGTTCTACTTCAGATTTGAAGTGAATTTATGAACGTCTGACAGCGTCAAACGTTCGTGAATTGGTAGAGTTTTTTCCACAAAACAGACTCTTCCTGCCTTTGTAGCTGGAATAAACCGATACAAATCGAAGTCCAGATTACTTACCAAGCTTCCTGATGTTGTAACAAAGCACAACACTGTAGGATCGAGTATCCAACAAGGTCTTACCATACCTGGGATACAATCCAAAGTTTGAGTGATAGAATTCATGATCTCGTGAGGATTTGTTACTTATTCCTCTGATAAAAATGCAACTACTCATAGAAATTGAACCCTCATTAATGGAGTCATGAACGAAATCACTAACTATGATCCTCAAATAAGAAAATGACTTCCAAAATGAATCAATACTCTTGATCATGATGAAATATTCTACCAAGTGAACTGGCTTGGGTAGTTACAATACTTATTATTCTTAATTTTTAAGGCAGTTCAGTGTATGGGCCGTATAACCCAAATATAGTATAATATGGCCCAATCACAGGGTTCTGCAATATAATTCATCATTTCCACAAATTGTTATTTGGGTTATTATGTTATATACATATGAGAGCAGGATACCTAACATTCAATTTGATGCAAAATTTGTTCACCTAAAAAATTCAGATGGGGACTGAAAAAAATGTTATAGCTTAGGTGGGCCATATTTTCCTGAAGAACTTAGACTTTTCGAATAATAAAGAACTGATCTCTTTTCTAGATTCCGATTACCAGCTAGGTTCGGCCGCTCAGACGCCCGGCCTGAATAATTCAGCGTCCGCCCCCGGTGGATACGAGCTGGCTGTCCCCGTCTCCGCCCCGCACACCCCGCAGCAGATTCCCGCCCCCGGGCCCCTGCAGGAGGCCTACATGGCTCGGGACCGGAATTACCCGCCGCAACACGTGAGTTTCTCGCTGATTTGCGGAATACGGAGGGATGTTTTACTTGTGTTTTACTCGACCTTGAAAGGGTGCATGTACGAAGGTTGAACGATTTCTATCCACGAAATCTGTATAGGATACATTGAATACACCAACCTTGATTTTTACTCTGGAAACGGGAAAAGGCAGGAAGTACACTGTAGGAAATCATATTGAGTGACTGCAAATTTGGTAATGAGAATCTACTGAGTGAATTTTTTGAGTAGATATTCAATGAAATCTGGGTATTTTCATAATTCCTTCCAATATTGACAATGTTTATGACAAATTTGATCGAATAGCACAAATTCCAGAATGAAACAAACAAAAAGCTATATCAAAGTAGCTTTCACCCAATCATTAGATGAAACTTGTGAGAATTTTGAGCGATTTCACCAAATAATTGGTTAATGGGCCGGTCCATGCGCAGTATATTGTTAGCGTCTCAGTCATCTCACTGTCTCAGTCCCTTTTCAACGTGCAAACAGTGAACAGTGTATTTGGGAATAACATGATGACCGTTCTAAGTCACAACAATATTATATGTTTCAATTATTCGAAGTAAAGGCATGTCCGTATCTCTGTGGTCATCAGCAAGAAAGACTCGAGCCAGCTCGAGACTAAGCAGAGGCCATTTTATCCAATAGGTCTTTTCATTTAGATGACAAATGACAATCGTTGTTTACATCTCGCCTCCAACGACAGTGGCGGCGAACATTTTTTCAAGGAATTATTCAAATTAATTGTTGTTGACATTGACATTTCTTATTTAATGTTGATCAGGAGAATAATGTCGATGCAGAAAAAAAATCAAATTAATATCATGTTGAAGAAAGCAGGAAATTATGGAACAAAATATACACAAGGTTTCTACAGCAGAATGATCAAGGAATAATAGTTTTCATCTAATATTTATTCTCCACTGAGCACCATTGACATGAAAAATAAAAATACAACTTTACCAGGAGCCTCTCATTCTCAATGAAACAACTCTGTGGCTTAATTTACCGAAATAAAGGGAAAGGATCACTATCTGATTCAGGTAATATGTGTGGTAGGTCTATTCTACATGATGTATTTTTTTTAAATGTAACCACTCAATTTGGAGGCTTATTTTCTATGCTGTTACTGTAAGTGGTAGTGAAGCTAATGACTATTGATGTATGTAGAAAAGGTTTAGTTTAGGAGGAACATTCTGATATTGGTGTGCATGAAATTACTTGGAGGCTTCTTGATGCTGTTACTGTAAGTGGAAGGGAAGCTATAATGACTATTGAAGTATGTGGAAAAGGTTCATCAGTTTAGGAGGAACATTTTGATATTGGTGTGCATGGGAGTTCCAATATCAGGGATTGATGTTATACAAAGGGAATAGTTCAGTAATAATTTTCATTATATTTTGAATAGTACTTATTACATAAGATTTTGCTCAATTTTGTATACTTCCATACCAAAACTCCAACAGTCAGAACATTTCTGCTTGGACTCATTGATAAGTTATGCTGATAGAGCATTAGTTTCTAGAAGCAAGCAGTATAAGCTTACTTTCTCAATTATACTACCTATCATAATTTGAAAAATTATTTCAATAATATATAATATATACCTCTATCATATGGAAAATGTAATCTAGTATATTGAAAATATTTAATTTTTGTTTTGTACTCATCAACTATAACATAGTCACAGATTAACAATAAGGTTTGTTAATCTCTGTGACATAGTCATCTATGAAAATATGAAATAGGTACTTTGGATTATGAATGAATAGTCCTCTGGGGCATAAATTGTTCAAAGCTTTCAACCATCACATTATTTTGTATCTGGACGGAATGCCACATTTGATTATTTACAAGCAAAATAAAATACAAGACCATTCTGAGTTGTTTAATTATTATAAATTCAAATTAGTGAATGATGTCAAGGAGTATATAAAGAATGTCAGATCATTTTCTGATATCAAAATGATAATACTCCTGTTCAAAATTAAGGCACCACATTTCTTTGAGTTTTGAATTTTTCTACCATAGCATTTAATTTTGCTCAAGTTCTCAATATTTGAATAAGGATAATTCCTTCCCAATGCAACTCTTTGATTACCCTTATTTATATATTATTATCCTAATAATTTACTAGAAATTGCAATAAAAAGAATATAATATCAATTTGTAGTTGGTGTCATAATTTTAAATAGTTGATTATATCAAAGCTATGGTCTTAGAGCTGTTGAACTCTCCACTATTGATAATGTATTTTATACCTATCGAAATGATTATTAATGACTACATGTAGTCATTAATAATCACCTGCAGGTGTATTATCTAATGCCATATGCTTACAATATAAATCAAACTATTTGAAAGCTTGAAAAGTCCAGTCTCTGTAACATAATGTTATATATAATTTCTGATAAATTTGTTATTACTTCATTAGATCATTAAACAAATAATTCAAATTAGAACTAACATATTAGGTATATCATTCATTTATTAATCAGTTTTGCTGTGAAAATAATAAAGGAAAGCACATTTTATAATTAGGTATTTTCGAAAAATTCATACATGACAGCATTCCCGATTCACAAATTTATTACAATACATTATTACTGTTTCACTCCTAGAAAGTCATTATAACAAAATATAAACATTTCAAAATAACAGATCATTTATTCATCATTTTTGATGTTAGAAATAAAAGGGAGCAATTGTATAGTTATTATATCAAAAAAACAATCACTATATCTTTACTGATTCTCTTCTAGAAAATAATTAGAAGAACATATGTACATTGCAAAATAACATAGAACTTTAATGTATCAAAAATAAAGGGTAGCAAATGTTATAACAGTTATTACATCAAAAAATTGTTCACAATACAGCTTTACTAATCCACTTGTAGAAAATAATTAAAACAAGTAATAAAAATTTAGAACTAATAGAACATTTGATGAGTATTAAGAATAAAGCCAGCAAATATAATTTTAGTTATTATATTAATAAATTCATTACACTACATATCATAACTGATTCCCTAATAGAAAATAATTGAAACAAAATATAAAAATTAAGAATTAACATTTATTCCTCATTTTTTATGGGAATTGAGAATGAAGCCAGCAAATATATTTACAGTTATTATATTGAAAATGTATGATTCAGTTCTAGGAAATAATTAAAATAAAATATAAACATTGCAAAATAACATATATCATCCATTAATTATTTTTGCTAAGTATTCAAAATAAAGGGAAACAGATGTTATAACAGTTATTCAAAAAATTCTTCACACTACATCTTTACTGATTCGCTTCTAGAAAATAATTAAAAGCAAATATAGAGAATCAGAACTAACATAGAACATGTATTCATCATTTTTGATAAGTACAAAGAATAAAGCCATCAAACGTAATAATAGTCATTGTATCAAAAAAATCATTACTCTACAGTAGTAGGTACTGATTTACTTCTAGAAGATATTCAAAACAAAATATTAAAATTTTTAACTAACACAGAACATTTATTGTTATTATTATTTCATGTTTGATATTTAATAAAGCAAATATAATAATAGTTATCACATCAAAAGAAACATTACACTACAGCATTAGGTACTGATTTACTTCTAGAAAATAATCAAAACAAAATATTAAAATTTAGAACTAACATTCATCATTGTTGCTAAATAATAAAAATGAAGGGAGTGAAATATAATAATACAGTTATTACGTTTGAAAATTCATTACACTACAGCACTACTGATATTAACTCCTAGAAAATAATTGAAACAAAATATGAAAAATAGAACCAATAGAGACCAATTATTCATTATTTTTTATGATAATGAGCATTAAAATGATAGTCATTATATTGACAAAACACACTTGAAAAGGGACATATTGTACATTATACCGGGTGACACATTGTAATTCTTATTTTTTACAGTTGAAGGAGAATTACATGAAGGGACTCACAGGGGATTTTTTTCCTCCCCAAAACACAATATACGTTTTCACATCCTGAGAAGATATACAGGAAGCAGCAAAAAGTGTAGGAATTTTGAATAAAACACCCTATATATTTCCTCACCATAAAAAAGGCCTTTCGAAGAGCTTTCCAAAAATACCACACTCAATATAATTATCTTCTGCATTTTTCAAAACATGGGCATTCAAAACTAAGTTTGATGGATTTTTGAACGGTTTTCGAAAAAAGTCATGACGATGATTGCAAATCAAGGTATATTCGTTATATTGCTATCTATGACAATCAATTCTCATTGGTAGTGATCACTAAAAATCAATATCATTGAAAAGGCCTTCTTTTGAAAATCGATCAAACTTTGTTAGTTTTGAACGCTAATAAACTGAGAAATACAGATGATGAATATAATATGGTATTTTTAGGAAGCTATTTGAAAATTGTTTCCATTGGTTAGGAAACATATGAAGTGTTCCAATTCAAATTTCATACACTTTTTACTGCCTCCTGTATATTTTTTTGTAAGTAAAAATGTATCTGTTAATTTGTGTCGGCAAAAAATCCCCTGAGGCTATTTTTTTTTACTGTCAAAAATAAAATATTTATGGGAGAATGAAATAATGCTACTAATTTAATAAAATAATAATACCTCCATGGAATCATAATAGGAAAATATTCATTTCAAATTTGCTTGGTATGTATACTATGTTTCCTACAATCAGTCTGTCTGAGAATGCTCATAAGGAAAAACCATAGACATCTTTTTATATGTCTATGGGAAAAACATAATTTTGTTAGCATATTTCATTCCATTTAAAACTGAAACTTCAGCTTCACATATTGATACTTATTGATAATGATGGGTGGTGATGGATGATCTGCAATCAGATCAGATCTTGTTTGTTGTTTGTAGCAGGTCCTCCAGATCAAATGATTCATGAAGTAATTATCTGATATATTCAACCACTCCTTGATGCAGTTGAGTTTTCTTCATCTTTCTTCGATAGTCTCGCAGATTTGATTTCATGAAAGAGAAAAATGAGTTACAAGTACAATGTTTCAATTAAAGAATGATTAAAACCTCCGGCATGATGAGTAAAGAAACATACATTCATATTGAAATATATGTATGGCCAGGCTTGCTTCTAAGAATGAATTCTCTGGAAATCTCCTACTAAATAATTTCATTGAAATATATGAAAAGAAGTACCAATAGAAGAAGATTTCATATCAGATATTAAAAAATACATTTTTTTCCATTTCAATGAAAATTAATCATTAATGCTCACGGCACATGATACATACTTTGCTAATGTGAGCTATCATCCCACAGTACAATAATTTTAGAAATCGACAAGGGAAGAAATGTGAAATTTTAATTTAATATAGTACCTACAAACATTTTAGTGAGTTAACTTATAAAATGATATGCTAGTCGGAATAATTCATGAGTGAAAATGCTTCCAGTTGCAATTATTCAATTAGTATTACCTCCATTCAAAATAGGTTCTTGGAAATTTACCAAACAAGCAGTAACAAATACCATTTGAGATAATATACCTCTCATACTAAGTGACAAATTTCTTTTCAACAACCTAAAAGATTTTATCCTACCTACTACATGTTCTACATATATCCTTTTCTTAGCTATCTGTTTCGTTTCAATTTCCTCTTGGGCAGTTAATTTATCACGACCTTTCAGAAATGGTGGAATATTCAATGCCACTTTTTTCTTAATTGTCAAATCTTCTATGTTAAAACCTCTATCTGCTAATACTAAATCACCTTCCTCCAACAAATCCATCAAATTCGACTTTTTTACCAACTCTTTATCTGATATGGAACCTTCGAACAAATCACTGACAAAAGATATAGCACCATTTGGAGTACAACCAATTAAAACTTTGAATGTAGTATGAGCTTTGTAAGAAGAATACAGATTACTTTGGTGCTCGAAATTGCTTGGTGTTTGACAATAAAATTCAGTACAATCAATGATGACTCTGATATTTTTTAATTTCTTGAATTCTGAAGGTAAATGTTGCTGTATCAAAGTTCTTGATGGGAACATCATAGGTCGAAGTACATTAAATCTACAATATATGTGTTGTATCCAGCTAGTAAAAAGTTTAGTTACCAAACCGACGGAAATGTTGAATCTATAATGAATATCTTCAATTAATAAACCTGTTCGTAATCTGATCAAAACTATGATGAGTTCTTCCAAAGCATTGCATTTTTTTCTCAAAGGCCGATCAACATCTGAATTTTTACACCCCCAGTATTGCAAAGACTCAATCGGTTGCAAAAATGAAAATAATGCAAGAATATTGGTAAAAGTAAGAGAAGTATAAAACTTACACTTTTTTTCGTTCAACTTCAAACTCTCCACAAAGTTGTTCATGTTTTCCCCAGCCTTATTGTTCTCCAACTCCTTCACCTTCTTTCTCAATTTAGAATTCTCTTCTTTCAATTGCTTGTTTTCAGCCTATGGATAAAAAATATTTCAAATTTTTGTTTGAATAATTAGAATATAATTTTTAGAATATCAATAACTTCTTGTTCAGTTGAAAATCACGGCATTGAATTGAAAAAAAAATAATTTCTCTCCATCAATTGAATCACCATACTTAATATGATCAAGATTAGGTTTTCCATACTTGATGAAATTAAATAGTCCCAACATATTTATACTTTTCTTCATTGTTGATTTTGACTGACCATAAATATATTGGTACTAACTTTTCTACAAACCCTATTGAACCTGTGATGAAAATATTGTCCATATAACAGTTAATTTTTGTTCATGGTTCAACCATTTATGGAAATATGCGCATATGAAGTATGTCAAGATTAATTAGAAGTACCTGGATGACGGAGCTATGATCGTTTTTTTTTTGGTAAATTGTGTTTTTAGAAATCTAAATATATGATAAACCAATAACGTTTTTTTTGTGATTTATATATTTAAATAACTTCCAGACAGAATAGGCTCTGGTATAAGGAAGTACATAATTATATACCTATAGGTAAACACAGCATCCTTCAAAATATATCAACAACTGTAAATTGGCAAACAAAGAATAATATTTGTAAAAAAAAATGGCATGATTAATTTTATCCAGTTTGCTCAGGAATAATCAGTTTTTTTACTTTATTTTTTAATGTACCTATATTTCTGCAATTTTTTATATCAATCAATCATCAGGTAGTTCATTGAATTCAGTTAAGGCTGAATGAGCGAATCTTTTTTGTCCGATTATGGAGCTAGCGGCGTCAAGATGAAACAAGTTATATTGTCTAGTTTCATGATTATGAATTATTTCAGAATTCCGAATCAAAATAATATTCGACTTCAATTTTTTATTTATGATATTATATGATATTTCGAGAGTTTCAATTCTATATATTTCATCTAAAGAATACGTATTTGTTATTTCATACAATTGATTGGTTGATGTATCAAATGGGAGACGATACAATACTTTTAACGATTTTCTATATAATGTTGATATTTTGTTGAAATTATTTTTTGAACAAGATCCCCAAACATTTATTAAATAGTTGATACGACTCAGTATTTGAGAGTAGAGAATCATGTTTGCAATTTTAATATCAAGTTTGGGACATCTTTTCAATGCACCAATTATTGGAGATATTTTTTTTGTCAAAACATCAATATGTTTGTCCCACTTCAACCTGTCATCAAACCAAATACCAAGATATTTTATCTGGTCAGTTTGTTCTAAGAGTCCATTTTTTATTTTAAGGTTGAGGTAAATTTTTTGTTTATTTTTTTGGTGAAAAATCATATATTCTGTTTTGTTAGTATTTATCGATAAAAGGTTAGATTGGAGCAATTTTTCAAATATTTTCAAGTCTTCATTTATCATATTTATCGCCCCCCGAACCCCCCCCCCCCCCTACACTAAATTTCATGAAAATCGTTGGACTCGTTTCCGAGATTCATATTTATATATACAAGAATTGCTCCTTTAAAGATATAAAATTAATCATTGTTTTGTTGATGATTTTTACCTTCAATGATTTCCAATCTTTCCAAATAAATGTTGTTTGAGAAGTAACATCCTTAGTATCCGGTTGTTTCCTAGAAATATACAATAAGGTGCTTTTGAAATAAGTATACATATTCAGTACAGCAATATGATAGTCTAAAGAATATTCCCGAAATATCAGATATTTTCTAATTCACCCAATTAACAATAGATTTCATCCCGAAAATTTAACGAAAAACGGAACAAAATCAAGTTCGCCTGTTTAAAACTATTTAAATGATTGCACTCCCTGTGACTGTGTCTTCTGTGCAGAAATTTGAACAGAAGTGACATCAGAATTTCTACATTTTAAAACTTAGAGTGTAGAAAGGGGTCTCATTCCAAATTTTATTTTGATCCCTATATTTTCAATCGTTGCCATGTGATAGTATACGGCAAACTTTCTCAGGGTTAGAAATATTTGTATTTATTTACATGTCACCCTGTAAGTGTATGTTGTAACAAAACCATGGTTTGTTATATGTTTGGTATAGGTCAGTGATCGCGTATTTGTTCAAATAAATCTAGTAAAGAATTATGCCACCTAGGTAGCAGTCAGGTGTAGTGTGGGTTGGTGTCGTCTTCTCAAAGTCTAAAAATAAGTTTGACCCACACAACCAAAGCCCTGAGATAAGTTTCATTACAGTGTTATTGAAATTGGTTTGAAGATTTTTTAATTTAGTTTCTTACTTGTCATCATCTGTCTCTGAATGACTTAGAATCAAACTTCCTGATGCTGTCATGGTTGAAGATGAAGTATGAGATGGATTTATTGACCATGCTCTTAAATTCAAGCAGTGCCTGCAAAAACAAAATGTAATCAGACTTTTAAAAACAGTAAATGTTATCCCATATTCAAGACATACATTCCAGTAATGAATTCATCAAAAACTAAATCTCTCCACCAACCTTTTAATTTTTTTTTGTGAAGGTTCCATAAGTTCTGTTATATTCTCCAGTTGTCTTTCTTGCATATCTGGGAAGTCACTGCAAATAATAAATAATTATTCATCCATTCAGCATAACATTTTATAAATATTCCTGTCAGTGAAACATGAGAAATTCAAACGCATGCAGATTCGTTTTTTCTTCTGAAAATGCATTAACCCAATAAATGTCCAAATGAAAAATGTGAAAAAACATTGGAAACAATTCTAACAAAATGATGCATGGAAAATAATTGAATATTTTTTCAATATTCAGTTGCAGAATATAATGGCCTGAATTTCTATCCTATTAAAATATGAATTATATCAGAGTTCTGATAGATCAAACAAAATTTTTAAATAAATGATAGAGAATTTATATTTTTAATATTTACTGTGGCATTAAATACCATATTTCAATATCCCAATATACAAGGTGATAAAGAAATAACAAATTACCAAGATATTTCATCTTGAAAATTCAACGAAAAATGTAAAAAAAAAAATGAGTACCCCACTTCTGGCATATTGAAATCTTAATGACTTCCCATTGGTGACACTGACATCAGTGAGCAACTAGCTCTTGATGAGTAGAATTTTAGGCAGAAAGATTGGTCTTCTTACAAATTTTGATCTGACCCCTATATTTTTTTCATTGGTGCCATTTAATAGTATACCTTGAGCCTTCTTGTGGTTCAAATTTAATTTATTTATTTTATTCTCACCTTGTATACATTGAATGTATTTTTGGGATGATTTTTTTTCTCTTCTCTTGTGAGAAGAAGAAGAAGAAATGAAGAAATTGATTATCAACAAAAAACTTGATGGAAGACAGATCCATTTATTGAGTCACAATGAAATGTTGTTATATTAATTACTCACTTCAGTGATTGTCCTCCTCCCAGAATAGGTAATGCTGTATACTTCAAGCAACGTTTTCCACCTGGTTTCATAATGAAGTCATCAACTGGAAAATGAGCTGAGCAAACACGTACTATATCCATATTGGTATAATTGTCAGTCAGTCCCAGGAATTCCGCCCATCTTCTTCTCTTTTCAGAGTCCTTAGGAATCCTACAATTGTAGAAAGATATAAGACTGATGCATCAGATATATAAACAAATATATTGATATACTGATCCCCTTTAACAAATGCAAAAACTATTGTCAATATGTATAGAGAATAAACTGTGTCTAACTCTGCAACAAGAATATCAACATTTCTGAATGCTATTGAAAATGTTATTTCCATATCAATAAATGATTTGAAGATTATGTTTATTCAGGTGCAACCATCAGAATAGTGTGCAATAAAACGAAATACCTACTCAGTCCCATGAATGGTTTTCAAAGAATACATAATATATCTGGATATATGATGTAAACAATATTGAATGAGGAATATTAGGAGGGCTACTCTCAACAATTTTATGAAGAGGAAAAAATAATCTCTTGAATTATTCACCAATTATCTTGAATAGTTCTTCACATGACGTATGTATGGATTTTCGGGCAGGGTATTCAAGCTGGGCAAGATATCCAAGCTGCCTAAGGCTCTCAAATCGCTACATACATAGCCGTTTATGATGCAGAGTGCTGTTCAAATCCCGGTCGTGGCTGAGCATTTTTTATAAAAATGTGTGATTCTTGGTTGTAATCCTGGCAGCACCTCGGCTCCCTAGAAGTGGTTCGGAATCCGCTATAAGCTGTAGGTCCCGCTCTCCCTAATCTCGCACAAGTTTGGACTTGGACTGGGGCGTTGGTTTCCAACTTCAAAGTAGTGATATACAAATTTCACATGTGGATAAGGACCCTGCAGCTCGTCACTTCTGCAGTATTTAGTGACTCCAAACCCTCCACATGTGGCTCATCTGTATATGTTTTCAGGGAATATATATCAAACTTCAAATCATCAAGGTTCTTGGTTGTAATCCTGGCAGCACCTCGGCGCCCTAGAAGTGGTTCGGAATTCACTATAAGCTGTAGGTCCCGCTCTCCCTAACCTCGCACAAGTTTGGACTTGAACTGGGGCGTTGGTTTCCAACTTCAAAGTAGTGATATACAAATTTCACATGTGGATAAGGACCCTGCAGCTCGTCACTTCTGCAGTATTTAGTGACTCCAAACCCTCCACATATGTGGCTCATCTGTATATGTTTTCAGGGAATATATATCAAACTTCAAATCATCAAGGGAGGTAAATTTCTTGGAATTCTCATTTCAAAATACTCAGGACAAATATACATTTCATGGAATTTACATAAATCAGGAAAAATATCATCCCAGAAAGGCTTATCAAATGGTATCAGTTCTATGTGAATACCTTTATGCGTCCATATCACAAAGTGGCACCATGTCTTCTCAGTTACTCCCATTACCATCTGAATTTGATAATAATATGGATGGGACCTTTTAAGGCACATATTACCTTTCTCATCAATTGCACAACAAAATGCATTTCTTTGTTGAGTTGTCAGTTTATTCAATTCAGATGGATGGTAATCTTTCAGAACATAAGGGCACTTTATCTCCAATATTCCATGTGCATTTGATTCATGATCAAGTATTATACCATCAGGAGAAGCACCTAGTCCAATATATTTTGGATTTATCCACAATCCTGTTTCAATAACAGATCTACCAGTTTTGTCTGTATATTCTCTACGGGCATCATCTTCATGTTTCAGGCCATGATTTACATATTTGTTATCCAAAACTGTATTTTTATACATCAAATTATTCAACAGCTCAAAATATTTTGCAGGATTTGAATTAACAAAATCTTTACATCTTGAGGCAGTTATGAAAATTTTCCTCAAGTGATGCCACTTTTCGCATTTAGTTTGTTCTGAGGTGCCAGTGATGACATTTGGCTCTGTGAACTGAAAACAAAGATTTGTCCTGAACTGAGAAATATTGTCTGTTAGAATAATTTTCCTTTCTAGTGTTATTTCATAGTCCTCATAAATGAAATTCAGTAAAAGTTCCCATGAACTCATACTGTGGCTATTTGCATCAAATGTTCGATTATATTGTAAAGTGGATAAAAAAGAATTATTAAGTTGAACTGGATCTTCTGCTTTATAGCTATCTGCATAAGGATGGAATATGAACTTTTGGTTATGACTCGTTTTCCCTTTATAATCGCGTGTATATGATGTGGTTGGATTCTTCCTAGAGCTCCCCTGATTCCATTGACAAATTTGACTAGTACATGATGGAGGATCATATCCAAATTCCATAACATAATCTTCTAGGGCAAATAAAAGACCTGCAAAATGTACACACTTTGAGTTTTCTGACTCCGTTCAATTCTCTTTCATGCGACCCAAAAGATAAAAATTACAATTTGAAAAACCAGTGTGAAAGCAGCAAAACATCATCAAGCAACGAATGATATCATCACAGGCAGGCCGCAGAGAGATGATGTAGATAAAACTGGCTCAAATCGAATTAGAATTGAAGATATTTTGAATTGCATGATTTGATCTTCTATAATAAATGAATAACAATTCACTAAACAAGATCATTAAGTTGTCTTATTTTGTAGCACCCATTTCCACCCCTCTTTCACCCTATTTTCAAAATAACTCAAATCCCAACTTAGAGCTCAGGAATCAGTTTTTGAAATTTTTTTCTTGAAACAGATGTTGAATAGCTTCCTGAACATGATCAGATAGTTGTCTGATTTTGTAGCATTCATTTCACCCCTCTTTCATCCTCTTAGGGGTGGAATGGGGTGATATAATTTTAAGAAAAAAATAGTTTTTTTATCATAACTTTAATACTGTTATAGATATTTCCATGAAATTTGACATGTACCTACTAAGCACCAATATGCACTTTTTGATGCATGAGATTTTTCAATACATCTACCATTGACGTCCATATGGGATGTATACTGGAGATTTTTTTACTGAAAAAATGTTGTATGCCCTTGCTTTTTCCGAAAATGAATCAATTTTGGAATCCTCATCCATTTTGCAACAATTTGAGCTCTCATTTTCTTTTCTCCAATGCACCGTTTCCACATAAAAAAATAAAAATCATCTCACCTACAATCTACCACATGCTGCTTATAATAGTAGGTGCATGTCAAATTTCATGAGAATATCTAGGACAGTATTGAAGTTATTGATAAGAAAACAATTTTTTTCTTGAAATTTCAACCCCCTATAGCTCAAAAGTTGAGAGGTTTAGGGCATATATTCATATGAACTTTTCATGTTCAAATGAGCTAAGGAACCATATCCTATGTTTTCAGCCATCAATTAAATTATACCTTGTATGGGTGTATCTAAATGAAATAGAAAAGAAAAAGAATAGTTATTTATTATACAAGGGAAAAAAGTAGTAGATTTTAGCTCCAGGTTGTGTTGTCTCCCGACGCGTAGCGGAGGGAGACAAAAAACCGTGAGCTAAAATCTAATATTTTTCCCGTGTATAATACACTATTTTTTTCTGTGACAGAAGGAAGGACGAATCAATATTGAGAAGATATTACATTATTTCGAAATCTGAAAATTATCGACGTGAAATTTCAAGTTTTTAACAGTAGGGACACCTGCGTTTTATAGGCATCTTCATCATTCTTTTGAAGTAATCACATATCTGATGTCACTTCTGTCAGTTCAATTCTGTGATTTGATTTTAAAATATTGCGAATTCAGTAGTTGTTTAGTAATATACGAAACCGCGAAGTTGAATGGAAGATAAAAGGACGTGCAGTTCTTTCTCGGAGACGGTATTATTGACTCATTTTTCGGAACTATAGCACAACAAAAGCCATTAACAGAGTATATATATGTGATATATATCCGGGAAAGAAGTACTCACTTTTTTCCCACGGGAAAAAAGTAATTTTTGAAAAGTGACATTTTATAACCTGCCAACAGAGATGAAATGCCAAACTTTTTTCCCGTCACAGAAAAAAAAAACTTTTTTGTCAATCTTCCATGGGGTGTTACTTTCAAGGAGAGAGATTTATTCCATTTTTATAACAGAATCACCCCTTATATTCTTTTGGTAATATTTGTATAGTTTTTTATGAAATAAATATTTTTGAATAAGTACTATCCGTTGTGAGTTTGAATAATAACTTTTTTTTAGATATATATTTTCTCTACATAAACTTCCATAATATAATGAAAAGGATTTACTTGATTGAATGTCAATACTATACCTGAAACATGACTACATCTACCCATTGCTGATGCAACACACTCACAAGAGGCATCCTTCACTTCTCCAGTAAACTGATCTAACATGATCATGACAGTGTAGGTGGTATTTGAAAAAGATGATATTATTGAGCTTTTGAGGCAATAGATTTGATCATTGGCCCAGTTTTCAATATTGGTTACATTACCACTTTTGAAGTAAATCCTTCCCCTTTTTAATGGTTTTGATGTGTTGAATTCAACTTCAGTCTCCTCTTCATCAGATTCTGTGGTATTTGTGTTAGTTATAACTGCAGTTTCTACTAGATGTTTGTATATAATTCCATAGTTATATAATTTGGGGACAGCTTCTGAAGGAAATTTTTTCCAACCATTTACAGGGAATATAGGTGGAGGCTTTACATTACTATCATTTATAAATGATGCCCTATTAGACTGGTTCACCTTTTCATACCATTTGCCATTGTCGATCGCTATGTCAATTCTAGTGACACCATTTTTCAAACACATTTCCACCCTAAATAAAGTCAATTTCAAATTGGAAATATCTGGTGATAGCATCAGAAAGATATGACTGAAGAAACATTCAAAAATTTTTATAACAGAAAATGTATACTTGAAATTTGTTAACAGAGCAATAATAATTCAGAAAAAATATACTATTATACTGGTAAACACAGTTAATCTTGGGGATTGACTGACTATCACTATTTGCCGAAAGTAAGTAGATATATTCAATCAATGGCATTTTAGTCCAACCCACAACTTACACACAATCTTTAGAAGCTAGACAAATAAAATGATACAATTACTATTTTCTATTCAGAGTACAAAGTTCATCAGTGAAAAGCCCCTTGAGTTTTTGATTTGAATGAAGCAGATACATAAATTGCTCACCGGTCTACCAGATCTTTCTTTGTTCCCCCTATTTTTTGTCCTCTGCATTTAAGCCATCTCCTCAATTCACATAAACTATGTCCCTGGATAGGTTTATTTTGTAATGAAGCGCCAGGTACATCATTTTCAGTCAATTCGCTCTTCAAAAAAGGCAAAGAAGCCATTATATGAGCTTATGACCAACACAAGTTTCTATATGAGATAGGTACCCCTAACGGTTTTGTATTTTGTATTCTTTCGCGGTTTTTCATTCTCCCGCGTCAGTTTTTCAATCTCCCGCGATTATGAAACCAATCAATCTCGCAGTATCCATTTTCAATAGGTTAGGTTAGGTAAAAACTCGGGTAAAGACATGCTAAAGAATTTTCGAGAATTAAAAATCATAATATACTCAATTACTCATTCGTAATATTCGCAAGGTAGACACTGTCTATGAACTCATATAACATCTATAGATTTAATAAGATGAAGGTATTGAAACTCACCTGTGAAATGTACGAAAACTATTTCTATTCCACTCGGCGCTACAAACAAAACATTTCATAACCATTTTCACCGAAAAAACTTGCACCAACTCTTCACTTCTTCACTAACGAACAAGTCTCGTTTTTTCCAAATTGAATTATCACAATACAATCAACACGCCAGAAATAGTAACTGAAAATTATGAAATATAATAGAAACTAGAAACGAAAATACGAAGACACCGTTTCTCAAATCTCAATGACGATTGACGTTGACGACAGTGTTGCCAGATGCAAATTTTCCGGAGCACTCGCAGCAGTAGATGCATGGGTGAGGAAAAAAACATCATCAAAACTAAACAGTAGATTCCAATAATCATCACAATTTGCTATTATAAATGAAAAAACATAGAAACCTATATAATAGAAGAAAAACGTTTGTTCTCTAAACCTATTAAAATCGAACAAAAAATAAAAATAATAAAATATAAAATAAAATTTGTAAAAACCACAACCAAATTGAAAATGAAAGTTGATTTTTATCAATCATATTAAATGTGTTCCAGTATATTTTTATCAGACATCCTCTTAGTGTGATGCCTATTCATTGTTATGGTAACATATTAGGTAGACATGGCATATCAAAACATGACCATTCAGACTATTCGCGGGAATCAATGTTACCAGGTGGCGCTCGGTTTTCATCGTTGCATGTCAAAGTCACGTCAAAACTGGGGAAAAACAAACTCAATCCTCACCCAATCCCATTTATTAGTGCCATTAGCTTGTGTACTGTGTACTGATAAGAGTGATACACTTTATGTCATTGACAAGTTTGACAACTACAGCTACAACAAGATGTATGCAATGTAGACTATGCACTTTATCCATAGACAACAGTTTGTTTTCCCCTAGTTTGATGCTCGTATTATGTAACCTAGATGTCGCCCACTTCGTGAATCTCGCGAATTGCCTTGAACAGCAGTACGGAGACGAAAACAGTAGATCTACTGTTAAAATAGTAGGTCTGGCAACGCTGGTTGACGAACGCCTCTGGTGGTTGACACTCTTGACAAATGACAATCGATAGAAAATCAATAAATTCGAATAGGCCAATCAGAATTTTGTGTCGACCTATATAGCCAATGAGACTTCGCATTACCCCTCCAAATTTTGGATCTGAAATCCTGCGCATGTCTGTTAAAATCACAACTAAATGAAAAGGCCTATTGATAACGCAGCGTCAGTCTTGATGGAAGTCAACTGCATAAAACAATCCTGTGCTTTCCATTTCACCGTAGTGAATTATAATTGAATAGAAGTACTTACTGCAATAAGTTCGAGCAGGAATATGTTATGAGCATGATTATATATGTGAAGTTTGGGTATACCTACTGCGGGTAAGTTTAATCTCGTAAAATACATATTGACTTTCAACAACATGGCTGATGATCGTGAATTGTATCAAATAATTCAAATATCTATTTGGATGGTGTGATTCTTGAAATTGTATTGTTAACATAGTGTTGATTTATATCCGATTACCTTGGCGTTTTGATAAATCAATATACGTATTCTTCTGTTGAATAATCCATATCGGCGTTGATGTCTTTCACAGCCATGCCAAGGTATTCGCATATGAATCGATATTATATACAATTCAATGAATGAAAATCACACCATCCTAATAAATATTAGGATTATCTGATACAAATCACGATCATCTGCCATGTTCTTGAAAGCAATCATGTATTTTACTAAAGTGGACATTACTCGCAGTATGTACCAAAACTTCACAGATATAATCATGCTAATAACAACATGTGTTTTGCTCGAACACGCAGTAATTACTCCTATATCATCATTATTCACTTCGCTGAAACGGAAAGCACAGGATGACAGGATTGTTTTATGCACTAAACTTCCATCGAGACTGGCGCTACGTCATCAATTGAACAAAACGGCATCTGCTTAGTCTCGTGCTGGCTCGAGTCTTCCTCTCGCTGATGATCAAAGATATTCGGACGTTCCTTTACTTCGGAGTTCTTCATTTAGAATAATGACATAATATTGTTGTGACTCAGAATTGAAAATTCACTCAACGATTCAACTCAGTAGATTTACTCACTACCAAATCTGCAGTTACTCAGAAAGATTACTTCAAGTGTGTTGCCAAACCTTGTACTATACTTCTAACTTCATAACATTCAGATTCATACAGGAAGAATATCACCACGAACACAATGTATGTGGGAAATTAATTTCGAGTCTTCTCACGAAATTCCATCATGGAAAATCAACAGACTTCAGATTCTTTCTTATCATCGAATGAACAGAAACAGAAAATAAAGACAATTCTCATTTCATTTTTCAAGTTTCCTCTCTTGTTTCAGTGTTTTTATTTTACTCCGATGCGGAAATTCCATGATGATAGATATTGAAGAGGATATCCATTAACATTTTACGAGACGAAATGAGTCATTTGGAATAGAAGTCCCATAAAGTAATAGCAGTTAAATAAATAATCAGAACCAAATGCATTTGCTGACGGAAACTCAGGAAGTGCAATCTGAGTGCTCACAGATGAATTTAATTAATGTGCTATTAAAAGTTGTAAACAAGAGCCAGAAAAGAAGCCTTTTAAAATGGTTGAGTGCATTCCTAGAATGAGACATTAAAACAATTATCGTTGATAAGTGAAAATGATTCCGAGGTTGGCCTCAGACTACCTGTATATTTTAGGAAGTGACAACAGATCGTTGATCATTTTCGACATTTGTCAAATTCCCCATACAACTCGTTGGTTTGGTGAATTTTTGTGAGTGAAGAATGTTTGAATCTGTCTGTGGTGAGAACTTTTTGAATTATGTTTATGATTATAAGAATGATAGTGTGATCTTAAGGAAAGATAGAAGTGGATTTTTGTTTCTTAATGAAAGTCGATCCAGGTATGTCAATTCGAATATTGTATCTTGATGTAGATACTATTTTCGAACATATGATGAGAATATAAGGTGGTCCAGTTATTTGACAAATTTCAGCTGATTTCAGGGGTCAAAATAAATGTGTTGTGACATTCGTACGGCTACACTCGAGTTAACTGACCAAACATATTTTAGATGTGCTAGGTGTTCTCTGAACTATATCTTCATTCGTTGATACAAGGTTCGAAAGATAAATAGCACGTTTCACATATGGTAGGTTTTATGAATCGAGTGAAACCGAATACGTGTTTTATAACAATGATAACACGCGTATAAATAACCTTACTTAGTAGTTCATCTAAGTTGATGATGTTAGAAAATTCATCAATAGAAATGAATGCCTGAAAATATTCGACAATAGTATGAGAGTTATAAATAAGGATTATGGACCTGTTCAGTTCTTTGATTCAGGATTGAGTTCAACATGTGAACCCCACTATAACAGACATTGACTTCGCGTTCGGTCTGTTTCACATGGTGTCACGGTTATATAGGTAAACAAACCTATATTATACAAGCAGTGCATAATATGATATTCACTTTTAATCCTCTTCAGAAGACGATAACATATAGTTAGCAAATCACTTGTTGATGTGTTACAAAAATCGGTTTGGTTAGTAGTTAAACAGTATGACTATACTAGGAGTAGCAAATGAACATAGATATAGAGTGAAAAGGGCAACTTTCTCGGCAACTATGCTCGAGTGCACTTAGACCAGCGTTATTTTCGTCCAAGCTGTTGTCACTTCTTCCCGATGAATGGTCCTGTTGGTTATTTATCAAGGTTCAATGATAGAGCCCATTGAGGCCCTGTTGTGCGTAAGTCCTATGAATTAATAGTTGTGTCAATAGTCATATCTACCTCATTTTCCCCACTTCTGTTCAGGATGCCTGAAATCGCTGCCACGTCATGGATGCATCCTCGTGTTGTCAAACAGAGCAGATATATTTTGTGAATCTAAGTAATGGAGTTGCGAACAAACTTGCACTAAAGCATCAGTCTAGAAACTATCCTTGGTATTCTCAGAGCTCCATGACTGTCGTAGTATATACCTACATTATACAAGGTGATTCCGAAATTGGAGCAATAAATCAAATGGAATATTCCATTATACATAATGACACGATGAAGAGGAAGTAAAAAAAAATATAGGTAACAAAAATTTCAGAAATATAGATGAATGAACTCACTATTGTTTGGAAATCATCCCACACAGCACATGACTCTCAACGAACGTCCATCTCAGATCCATTTCAATCCAATCCAAGGACATTGAGTGGACACCCAATATACGTACAAACATTGATGGTCATCAACAAAGATGAACTCACAATGGTTATTTCGAGATTATGTCTGTTGGACATTGAACCCACGTCAAATTGAAGTCTGAACTCTAATATGGACGTTCAATCGAAATACATTATACGTGCACAGCCAGACCTACATTTTATGATTGAATTTGAACTCTCATTGGATATACATTCAACAGCTATACTAAGTTGAATCATTTATGGATACAAATCCTACTTCTGCAAGTTCATCAAAGAAGATGTATCCAAACTAAACAACTATCAGAAATCATGTCACATTCAGACGTTCATGAACGTGAATCGAACATACAAAGATGGACGTACCATTGATGATTTTATCAGCCACGATGGAGAAGAGGCTAGAACAAGCTCTAGAGTCTAAAAGAGGGTACCGAATAACGAGATTCGTTATTTTTAGGTAGCAAATGAACGTGAACGTGAATTGCAGACTATTGTGTATCAAATCATGAAAGCATGCATGTTCAAATGACTATAGGTAGCTTATACAGTTGTCAGTCACAGGTTGCTATCCATTCGAAATATACGTCTTGAATTGTATAAGGAATAGCATTGCAATATCATTCCGAATTGATAATGCTACTGTTAAAACTTCACAAACGATAAGATTTCCACAAAATTCTCAAACACACAACATGTTTTGCCAACAGAGAAGCCTCGTCAGGTGATATACTGGTACAATGAACTAAACCAACGTTGGCTTGCTCAGCTTTCATATATCCTACTTCCCCAACTTGTAGGATTAGTTACCTGTGGACAGGTTTGATAAACCC